CCATGCAAACATATCCGGGACCTGGGGGTCACAGTGAGCATCCATCATAGCCACTCTGAGGTGCATGAGCTGCATGAGGGCCATGAAAGGTGGCTCTCCATTGATGTCCATCTCCCACCTGTTGTCCATAATAGCTTGGCTCACTGTTTGCTGGTTCTGAACTCTAGTGGGAACTAAGGGTAAGATGGCCGGTGCAATGTCTGCCACAACCATCCCATTCATCCATCTATCCTTTCCAGAAGAGAAATCGATCGCAACTCCCACTGTGATTTGCACCAGGTGATTAAACACTTGACCCGCCTCCTCGTCAACCAAGAACGGGATTCCTTGCCAAGGTCTGGTCAGGTCCATCCTCCTCAGCCACTCCCATCTTACCCTAAGGGCAAGGGCCTGCAACTTCAAATTTTTAACTCCGAGGCCTCCACACCTTGTTGGGTGACAGATAGTGTTCCATGCCACTAGGCATTTCCCGCCATTCACCTTATCCTTCCCGGCCCCAAAAAACGACCTCATCCATGTGTTAATTTCGTCGAACACCCAGTTAGGAGCATTGAGAACCATGAGCTGGTGGATTGGTCTTGCCACCACCACAGATTTGATGAGAACAAGGTGTCCGGGCCTTTGATTGAGACCACTCTGCCAAGCCGGGATAATTTTCCTAGCTTGATCCACGAGTGGTTGCCAGTCTGCTCTTGTGAGTTGATGTATCGCTAGAGGAATGCCCAGATACTTGCATGGAAACTGCCCCATGCCACACTGCAGGTGATAGGCAACTCTTTGCTGGTCCTCCTCCATGCCTCTAATCAGGATCGCCATGGATTTATTGTAGTTAACATCCAACACCGATGCTTCACCAAAGTTCTTCAGTGCCAATTTGACAAAAGTCAAATCCATCTTCGTCGGTCTAATGAACATCGTCCGCGTAAATAGACAAACGCTGGGTACATGAGATCCCATTGAAATTGCTAACCACTCCTTCCTCGGCTCCCTTCCTGAACAGCATAGTTAAGGCTTCCATAGCAATGACGAACAAAAGTGGCGATACGGGATCCCCTTGGCATAGTCCGCATGCGTGCACAAAGCTCTGTCCAGGACATCCATTTACCACGACCTTCGTGCTAGCCATTTACAGCAGGATAGCCACCCACCTTATCCAAGCTTCCCCAAAACCTTTCTTCCTCATCACTTGCAACAGGAACGGCGATGATAATGAATCAAACTCTCTCGTGATATCAAGCTTCAGAAACACCCCAGGCATCTTTCAGGCATGTAATTTCCTGGCAAGCTGTCTCACAAAGAGAAAATTGTCATGCAGGCATCTTCCTCCAATGAACGCAGATTGGTTTGCTTGTACAATCTCTCTCATCCGTCTCCTTGCCCTATGAGCCAGTGCCTTGGCGAATAGCTTTGCAAAGCTATGCGTCAGGCTAATAGGACCATAGTCGCCCACAGAATCGGCATCCGCCCACTTCAGGATCAGGGTGATCAGCGCCTTGTTCAGCTTACCAAAACCACGGCCATCTCCGACGTACAACTTCAATATTGCTGCCATAATATCGTTCTTGATTATTGGCCATGCCTTCTGAAAGAAGATGCCTATAAAGCCATTCGGACCCGGAGCTCGATCGGCCGGCAAGTCTTTAATGATGTTCCATATCTCCTCCTCCATAAATATGGCGTCCAGATCTTGTAAATCCACCGTTTCCATCTCAAGGTAATCAAGTTCCAGGGTACAATCCCGGGCCTAATACTTTCCTAGTCGGTTTCTGAACTCAGCAGTGAAAACCTCCTCTTTTTGGTGCTGCTCAATGATTATATCATCTCCCCTCTTGACATGTGCAATGTAGTTCTTTGTGCGCCTACCATTGGCCACTGCCTGGAAAAGTCGAGTGTTGGCATCACCAGCGCCCAGCCATCTAATCCTCGAGCGTTGCCTAGCAATGGTCCCCTCAAGAGACGCTAGGCCTAGCACGGCTAGCTTCAAAGTCCTCCTTAACCATAGCTCTTCATGAGTTAGGGTTCGACACTCTTGCGCTTGTTCCAGCCTCGGGATCACCCAGTTTGACACCGCAAGCCTGATTTTGATGTTTCCAGTCTTCCGGTGCCCCCAAGATTGCAGCGCCTTTGCCGCATTATGGAATAGAGCATCAAGTCTTTTGAAAGGATCCACAATGGCATCATCACACACCCAGGCTGCCCTGACGGCATCTTCGAACCCCTCCAACTTAGTCCAATATATCTCGAACCTGAACCTCCACTTTGGGTTGCACATGGCATTCATACTCAAGTGTAAAGGGGCATGATCTGACACATTCGTTCCCAGCGCCTGCAGAAAGCAGTCCAGGTTTGCTAGATCCCAGTACACCGAAACAAGGACATGATCAATTTTGGTGAGGGTAGGACAATCCCTCTCACTTGTCCACGTGAAATGTCTCCCGTGCATATACAATTCCTTTAATTCAAGATCATCCATGAACGTCCTGAAGTAGTTTAGTGTGCGTTGGTTAATGTTTGTGTTATTTTTCTCAGATGCCCGAAGTATCAAGTTGAAGTCACCCAACAGCATCCAAGGCCCGGGGCAAGTCACCCTCCGTAAACGTAGCTCCTGCAAGAACTCCAGTTTCTGCTCATCTCCTTGTGGACCATACACACCACAGTGATCCACCACTAGCTCCCGTCTAGGTTATGAACCAGCCCGGTGAGAGCATGTGTGTCCCAGACAACATGATCCACCTGCACCACGGTCGAGTCCCACGCCAAGACCACATCTCCACGAGTATCAATCGCCGGGAGGTAAGCAAAGCCATCATAGGATGGTCCGATACATTGCATGATAGTAAAAATGTCTACAACATCTAATTTCATCTCCTGGAGACACACCATATTACATTTGATCGAGGACGCCGGATTGTTCAAACCTCTCACGTTCCAGCATGTAATCGATGTGCTTGGATCCATGAATCACATGTAAAGACTCCGGCACCATACTGCACAAAGATTACGCAATGATTACCATCGCGTTGCCTCCCTCAAGTTCAGCCCTCGGTGGCAGCATCTTGCCAAAGATCGCAGCGATCACCCTCACATGTTGCTTGCGAAGTGGTGAGTCAAATAACTCCTTGAGCTCATCCACAACAGCTTCATCTGGCTCTAGATCCTCAGGGACCAAGCCTAGAGCTCGCAGCAGAACATTCTCCACCGGCGTCGCCTTGGATGGTGCAGTCATCCCAGCCCTCTTAGCTGCTCTGGTCGTAGGTCGGGGGGGTGGGGGGTGGGTGAATGGTTCAGCATCAGAGCGAAGGAAAGAGGCCTGGACATCATTCAGAATAGGGGGGCTAACCTCTGTATAATGTTGGCGCAAAATGACTTCATCCGGCCATACGCCGCCTCCTCCTGCTACGACATCCCCTGGTGCGCTACTGTATCCATCTCCAACTGCACTTCACACTATTGAGCCATCGTAGTCACTTACCATTTGTTTCAGCATGCACGCTTCCTCCATTTTCATGTGGGGTATCATCCACATGCAACGATGATGTGACACCCACGTCCCGCTCCTCCATGCATGCATGCACACCAATGCATGCAGGTGGGCCAGGTACCAACGGGGGGAGGCATGATCCCCATCCGCACATCCCGCCAACACCGAGGGATCAGCAGGTGGGTCCCTCTGCAGCACCTTGTCCTCATCTGAAGTGGGAGCCGGCTGCAGTACGTCTCGTGCACGCGGCAACTGGGCCTCCAATTGGATTGGACCGCACGGTCCCAAGGGCTGGCACTGCACGAATCCCACGGCATTGCCCATCTGCAACTCCTGTTCGGATGGAGGGATCTGGTCTCGTGTCTCGATCCCCGGCCCAATCATTGGAGAGTCGATCTCCCCTCCCCTAGCACTGCATTGGTCCGCCTCCCATCCATCCACTTTGGGAACCGCCAAAGCTGTCGTTGGGCCTGCCTGCGATGATAAAGCGCTCTCGATACGCTCGCACTCCGCCAAGTTAGCATTGGCCACTTCCTGGTTTGAAATTGGAATCCAGCCATGGCCTACCACCGGTCCAATATTGACGAATCTGGGAGTTCATGGGTTTGGGTAACGGACATTCTTCCCTCCGCCAATATTGGCCAGATTCGTCATTCATGAAGGACGGGTCACCATTAACGTGTGGTACGACCGTAATGGAAAGGGTTGATCGAACGCGAGTTGCGCCATTTCTCTTTGTTTTTCTTTTCTGAATCTGAAAAAGAAAAAATAATGACCGATTTGTCTCTTGTGTGGAGTTCCAAAAATGATTAAGAAACTCCCGTAAAAAATGATTAAGAAACACGCTGATCATGAATCGGACAAAGCCCTCTAGGCGTCGTATCCACCATGCACCCCACTCGCCACCTTTTCCGGATCAAACAAAAAATGGTACACCTCCCACCCACCCCATCCAATGCACGCACGCACGCATCGTACGCACCCCACATAACTGAGTCCCTCCCTTCCGCACGCACACCTCCTCGCATTCTTCAGTTTCACCGCAGAAGAGTCGAGGCGCCATCTACATGCACGCGCAACGGGCGTACTAGCAGCTACAACGGGCCAAACGACAACGACGATGATCCCTTCCGCCACGCTCCTCCACGCTGCGTGGATCACGGCCGCCGTCGCCGTCTGCCTCGCGCTCTGCACCATCCACTCCCGCAAGTCCTCCTCCTCGCTCCGCCGCGGCTCTTCACGCCCCGGGCCGGCTCGCAGCTCCACCGCTGCCGCCAGGACCAGCGAGTGCAACGGCGATATTGGCGCGGCAGCCGGCGCCACGCCGGCTGCGAGGGTATCCCCGACGCCAAGCGACACGTCCAAGAGCTGCTGCGTTAACGTAGGCGATCTGCACGAGCCGGCGCGCGTGGGGGACAACGTCATGCAGATCGATGCCAGCGCCGTTGCCGGCCCGGTCACGGTCATTGACGTTGGGACGCACGGGCCGATCGCGCCGGTGTTCCTGGTGCCGGACCCGATGCCACCGCGGCGGAGCCTTTCGGTGAAGCACATCCGGTTCGCTGAGCGGCTGGAGAAGATACGGTCGAGGCGGTGGGGAGGAGACAACGACGACGCGGAGGCCCAGCTGGACGACACCACGCTGTGGACGAAGACGATCCTTCTCGGGGAGAGGTGCCGCGTCCCAAGCGGGGGCGGGGATGGCGGCGGCGGCGACGACGCGTTGGGCTACAGGCCGAGGCATCCCCGGTCGGTGCCGGTGACGCGGAGCAACTCCTTCGCCGGCGTCCTCGACAACCGTGGCGGTTCGTGCAGGCCTGCTGGTGCACGCTTGTAGTTAAAACGCCTATCTGATGTTTTCAGTGTTTCGTTTTTCCAGATGTAGTCGTTATTTCCTCCTTACTTGGTCTGTTTGAACCTCGTCTCACACCAAACCAAATATTAGTGACGCCACTAGAATATCCTTGTTTGCTTTGCCATGATAGTTTTGTAACACCCACGAAATTTCAATGAAATCTAAGAAAGGTGTTTGGTTCAGGAAAGGAAATGTAAACGCAATGTGGGAAAGCCAGAGCTTGTATGGTTAAATTTCAACATATTATAACCTAACGCAAACAATTCTTGTGCCTGGTTTCAACCAACGAGGAGGAAACTCGCCAAATTGACAATCTAAACACAAAGTGAAAAGTTTCATAAATAAAACCTAGATTCATATTCGATGTCTGAATCGAACCCTAACCTCGAAATCCATGAAACTGCTAGCATGTTTAGGCAATCCCGGTTTATCCAGGTTGATTTATGCTAAATGCTTGTTTATGTGCCGAGATAGCTCATATGCCACAAATTAGGTGGAAATCAGACGCCATGTTAGACCGATAGCGGGTTCCACTCAC